AGAATCAAATCTATTAAATAATCTTATGCCTTCTTCTTGAATCAAACCTATTAAATAATCTTATGCTTTCTCCTAGAATCAAACCTATTAAATAATCTTATGCTTTCTCCTAGAATCAAATCTATTAAATAATGTTATACCTCCTTCTAGAATCAAATGTTCTTATTTCAGAAGTAAAATTCGAATTTCAGAATCGCCTTTTTGTCAGTATTAAGTGACATTCATAATATTTGATGTTTCATCCTATAGCAGACAGTGTAATAGTCTTAATATTCTAATGATTAGTCCTAAAACTGATTGAATTCAGTATAACATTATTCAACCACCCGAGATCCTTCTTAGAATCGACTATAATAAGAGTAAATGCAGTGTTTAATATTCTAGAGTAGTGTCTTAAAACCTACAGTAATCAGTGTCAGCTGTTTAAAATTCTGTCTCATCTAAAACCGACTATAGCCAATGTCAAATATTCTGACGTATCAAAACCGACTTTATTCAGTATATGAAGTTTAATAAAATAATTTAAGGATATTAGAACGTTTCGTTCACATATACTCGTGAAGGTTTTTCTTCTATGCCATTTGCAAAAGTTTCTTGAGAGCTCAAAAATTGGTTTTTCCCAAGCTTTTATTCCTTCGCACGTATTTTCACAATATAAACCTTTCTACATTTATTTAACAACTTCTTTTTTTTTGTCAAGTATGACCTATCTCTTCGTAACTTATTTTATTGTGGCATAAGTTTAATTATTTTATATGCCTACTTATAGCTCTTATAGTTTGAATACAGGGCAATTTATGTTCCATGCCAAAACAAGGCTTCTATGTTAATAGTTTTACAAAAGTTTGGCAATTCGTTATTAAGACTTATCATATATTCAAAAGAAGTTATATATAGAAACAGAAAATCACAGATAAACTGAGATACATTTCAACGTTTTATAGTTTTAACTTATATAGCAGGGCTATCTGTTCATTGTTGAACAACATCTCAATTACTTCGTCAAAATAAATATTGTTATATTTTGTTTTCCAGAGATATATTCAAATGAAGATACCATGCAGTGTTTAAGAGGATCTCCTGGAATAATGGTTCTTCTCTACTACATATTGTGTTTGTGGACAGAGGTCGCTGCAATGTGTCCCATGCGATGTAAGTGTGATGATCAAAGTTTAAGAGTTTTATGTGGTGATGCTAACTTAGATGGTTCCA